ATCAGGACAGGACTTAGTGCTAAACCCTGTATTCCTCTGTGTTTGCATTCGGTGTACATAAGTGATACAAAGGGACACTAGTGGAACCTGAAATGTGAATGACTTCCCGTTTTGAATGTCCCTCCATCCCACTGTTAGAAAGCACTTCCCGCTTGGCTTCCTGCCACGGGACACCCTGGACAAGCTGTTCTTGGTGGGCGAAGTGCTGACTGGCCCAGGATGGAGGAGAAAGAGGGTCCTTGTGGTGTTATCTGATGATGCCATCAGCATATACTGGGAGAGCATGTTATTTTACAGCCATGCAGCAAATGCTTTTTGTTAATCTGCGTGAACCTTTTTATTTAAATTAAATCACAAATCAAAATAAAGACAGATATGTGAAAGTTTCCATGTTGTGGTGGTGTATCTAAACAACAAGCTGTCATATAAAGAAAGAGTAACCCAAAAAGTTCTCTGAGACATCTTTGCTTCATTAGGAATGCCAGCCTTCTTTTTTTTTCCCCTGGAAGGTTAAAAAACAGGGAGCTGACTCAGCAGCGCAGTGTATTTCACAGTTCATTCATTCATTTTACAGATATTTAAGCCTACTATGTGCAAAGCAGAAATAAGTAGCAGTAGTAGCTTCTACTCTCCTACAAGGGCAGCATACAGTTAGTGTATGTCAGTGACACATTTTTAGTGTTTCTTTTTGGAAAGGGTATTTTGACTTCTGTATAATTTTAGGAAGAACTCTTAAGATATTGCAGGTGTACCCTCACATAAGCTTAGTGATAATCAAATCTCTGGCGAGGAGGGACTCTTGCTATTCCACAGGGGCACTGTAAACTATTTTGGACAACAAATCAGAGAAACAGTCGTTATTTTTAGGTTTGCTTTGAGGACAGGATTATAAGAACTAGATCGTAAATGGTCCTTTCAGGAGATTGTGATGAATGGGACTGAGTTTATCTTTTATGTCTATAAAAGTCAGTCTTGCTGACATGATTCCTCATAGAGAATGGTGGCTTTCCATCTGATACATCTGTCCCTTAGTCTGTTTTCCTTATTAGTAGTGGCACAACTTTTACAAGAGATATGTCATTGGTGCTGGGTTAGTAAAACTATTTGGCATCTGCTTTTATTACAGATAAAAGTTGAAGAGTTGCTAGGCCCCCTAATAGAATGAAAATTATCTGAATTGCCAAACCCTACCTTTAGGATAGGCTTGGGGTTGGCCACCAGAACCTGTTACACTGGGTCTTGGGACACTAGTGGAACCTGAAATGTGAATGACTTCCCGTTTTGAATGTCCCTCCATCCCACTGTTAGAAAGCACTTCCCGCTTGGCTTCCTGCCACGGGACGCCCTGGACAAGCTGTTCTTGGAATCTCCGCCAGGCCTTTCCTCTACAGCTAGTGTTGCATTGCCTGTGTTCTGTGATCCATTTGTGACACCTATAATCCTGCATGTGGGGGGTCTAGATTATAAAGTGTTTTGAAATAGGGTGACTCCCTCTCTCTTCCTTGAAGTGATGGTAGTTAATTTGGGAGGAAGGAAAATAGAGGTTTTTCCTCAAGTCACCTTTCTGCACCAGGTGTAAATATAACATCTCCAATATACCATTCTCTGGGTAAAAATTAGTTAGGTATCATTTTCTTCCCAAAAAGCAAGGAACCTCAGTCAGTAAATAGAGGATAACCATCATCTAAGCTAATTAAATGCCACGCTGGAGGGTCTGAGGGCCAGGACACTAGGGCACTCGAGTGGAAATCGAAAAGTGCACATCTTTATCCTCTCTCCGCCAATTGCATAGAACCTGTTTTATTTATCTGTTAAATGGGAGTGTGCTGCACCTTCTTGGCAAGGTCAGGTCCTCCCTTCTCTGGGTAGTTCAGAAAGTCACAAGGCCAGTGCTTGCTTTATCAAAGCCCACATGAAGTTTTGTGGAGCTTTGAACTGTAGTTAAATTTAGGGGAAAGGGGAAAATATTTCATAGGGAAAAAATGCTGTTTGCTTTTTGAGTTTTCTTTTTTCTGTGCGTTTTTGTCTGCACAGAAACGTTTGTGAGGGTTCTAAATCTTAAGGGAATCTAAGCTTTTCTTGCTTTCCTGGGGTCATTCTGGATGAACGGTAGTTGGCAAGTGCTGAGTCAGAGCAGCTTGTTTTAAGCTGCTTTACTTTCTGCCTCTGGTGAGTGTGACAAGAAGGATGGGGTCTGAGAGCCCTTTGCTGCCCCGCCCACACTTGCTTAAGTGGGTGGGTGTAGTGGCTGCTGAGATGGTTGCAGCTTTAGCCTGCTGCTGGAGGTGAGGTTGGCTCAGGGACTGACAAGCAGGTAGCATTTTAAACACCAGCTGCTGTGCTCACCAGTGTATGTCCTGAGTCAGGTTACCTGACCTCTCTGATCCTGGAGAGCATACTTGTCTTTTGTGGGTCTTTGTGAGGATAGAAGAATGTCAGGTGATACTGCAGCACCTGGCACATGGCTGGTGCATCATCAGTGCTGGCCTGATGGTTCACCACCTCAGGACTTTTTGCTTTAGTGATACTACCAAGCAGCTAGAGACATACTTTTGGTTTGAGGGGCTTCCTGTGGAAAAACAAAAAGCAGAAGCAGTTCCATTGACTCCACTGAAAAACTATGGAAACTTCTATCTCATGTTCCCTGTCCTTGACAGCTTTGACCTCTGGCCTAACCATGACTAAAGAGCATTTTCCCTGGAATACTGTTTTTCACTTTCTGAGTCAGGTACTTGTGTCAACTCCTAGAACCTTGAATCTGGAAAAATTTAAGGAACAACCTGAGGTCTTGTGAGGGGAAGAGACCTCACCCAGTGTCACTTGGTGAGTGGGTGCAAAGCTGGAAGCAGAACCCAGATCTCCTCACATTTCTGCATGTCCTGCATCCTACTGCAGTAGGTACAGGGAGGGCTGTGCATCTCCAGAGAGCCCAGCCTCTCCTAGGACCAGATGGATGCAGGCTCTGACCAGAGGGATGGCATAATCCAAATACTTGTGTCCCCTATTTAAAAACTTGGTTTTGGAAGGGCCAGTATACCTGTGACTTAGAGGCCTCTGACACTCCAGGTAGTAGTTTGAGTAATACCTGCCCTCCTTATTAATTGAACAGATATTTACTGGGTATCTGCTAAGGGCCAGGCACCATGCTAAGTCTAACGACATGGTAACAAACAATGAAGTCACATTGAAAAGGGATTAATCACTGGCGACTCCTCATCTATGCCCTTTTATTTCTTTTCAAAGAAATAATAGCATTTTTAAAGCCATCAAATTCTGACCCTGCCCACATTCCATCAAAAACTAATGGAAAATGTTATCTCAGCATTCGTGTGCTCCACACCTCGAGTTGTGCCTGGATTGAGGATGCTTAACATAGTTACCAAGCATCAAGAAGTCCCCTCTGGTCATTTGTCATGGGTATGGCAGAGGTGCCTGTTCTCCTGCTCATTTGATCCCTCTGGCCCAGGAACCCTGCTATTTCTGGGCCAGTTGAGGGTGTAGGATCCTGGTGAAGTTGGTCACCAGTTCCCTTTGCCTCTCTATGTCTTGGTAATGACTGAGTCTCACCAAGGGTCACAGTTGGGGGGAAGGGGTCATCATATGTCATCATCCAGTGTGTTCATTGCTCTTCTAGCTGCTTTTGTTTTGTTTTTTTGAGTTGGAGTCTCACTCTGTCACCCAGACTGGAGTGCAGTGGCCATTCCCGGCCACCGCAGCCTCGACCTGCTGGGCTTTGGCGATCCTTCCGCCTCAGCCTTCCAAGTAGCCAGAACTACAGGCACGCGCTACCACACCTGGCTAATTTTTGATTTATTGTAGAGATGAGGTCTCGCCAAGTTGCAGGTGGGTCTTGAACCCGCAGGCTCAGGCAATCCACTCACCTCAGCCTCCCAAAGGCACGGAAATTACAGGCTGAGCCACCGAGCCCAGCTAAGCTGCTTTTGATGTCGGCCCATCTTGGTGTCTCATTCTTTTTTCTTTTTTTTTTTTTTGAGTTGGAGTCTCACTGTCGCCCAGACTGGAGTGCAGTGACCACTCCCAGTCACCGCAGCCTCGACCTGCTGGGCTCTGGCGATCCTTCCGCCTCAGCCTTCCAAGTAGCTGAAACTACAGGCACGCGCTACCACGCCCGGCTAATTTTTTGATTTATTGTAGAGATGAGGTCTCACCTGCCCAGGCGGGTCTCGAACCCGTGGGCTCAGGCAATCCTCTCACCTCAGCCTTCCAAAGGCACGGGATTACAGGCTGAGCCACTGAGCCCAGCAGGTGTCTCATTCTTAACATAAGGGGAAGCAAAACTGAAGCCTCTTCTCCCCACCCAGGCAACATAGAAAGTACTTTTGGCAAGGTGGAATAAACCTTGTCATGTGGTAGAGGAGGACACTACAGTCCATCACCCTTGGTTTTGAATCTGCCTCTTAGTAACCATGTGACCTTGAGCAAGTCTCTGCAGTAAAATGGGCATCAATGAAATGGGTGTGATAATAGTCACCTGGCTTTTAGGGCAAGTATGAAGATAAAAGGCAAGGTAGGATAAATTCCCAGTACCACGCCTGGGACATAGGTGCTGAGTAGATAGCCACTGTTTCCACTACAGTGGTTTTGTTGGTAGTTGACCAGCCATAGCCTACATCTGAAGGTAAGGCACATGAAGTGGTGTGTGAGGATCTTTAGCAGAGGGGTTGAGACATTGTTGTCAAAAGGAAACAGGAAAGCTTTGTGACCTGGGTGGGGAAGGCTGGCACTTTCTGCCAGATGAACGACAAGGAGGGTCTCTCCGGTGACCCTCTCTTTGGATGATGTGAGTCAATAAAGAACCTAGCAACGTGAGACGCGCTGCTCTTTGGCCTGCTGAGGTTGATATGATGAGGACCCTCGGGCCTTGTCTGTTCATGGGGGCTTCCTCTGGCTCCCCCAGGAACCGTAGATCTTGTGCTTGGTTTGGTTGTCAAGTTGCACTGCTTTATCTGCCTTCACTGACTGTCTTCACTCTCTTCCAGGGGCTCCACGGGCCTTACCCCTTCGGCCAATCTTAAACGGGTGTCAGCAAGAAGAAAAATTAACAAAAGACAGAAGGCCTGACTCTGGGGGGGAGGGCGAGGGGTTCCTCTGGATTGCAGACCACATCACATGGACCCCTGGCTCTGACCCCCCATCCTGGAAGAAGAGGAAGAAGGAGAACAGACTAGTTTTGAGTAAACTCAGTATGCATGTGTGAATGCTGAATCGCAGGAATGGTGTTGAGGCTACGAGAAGAAGTCCGTGCAGCCACCTGGGGTTTTGTTTATTGGGCATCAGTCTAACAAGTCATTAGGTCACTTGGGAAGGAGGAAAAAAACACTTAAAATGGAGGGAAAAAGCCATCTTTTTAAACAAAATTATTTTGCCTACAGAGAGGTTATAGTTTTGAGCACATGTTGTTTTTTTCCCCTCTTTGCCCACTTTTTTTTTTTTTTTAATAAGGGGTAACATACTCTTTATAGAATAGTGCTTGCTCTGGAAGTGATTCAGGCTAAAAGCTGGCCTGGCATGTTTGGGGACTGCGGATCAGTGCTACAGGAGTATATCTGCCGTGCCACCTGGCTCCAGAAGTCTCTGACCCTATTTGTTTTTCATGGCATCAGTCAATGAATTATCACCCTTTTCCTCCTCTTTTCTCTTTAATCTTCTGTTGATTTACACCTTTGGCATTTGTACTCATCAGCCTTGTGGCTTGTTAGCATCAGAATCTCTCTGAAGACCAAACTTCCCTGTGTGGCCAGCAGAGGAAGGTTTGAGGACAGATCTCGGGTGACGTGGATTTTCTGAGGCCGAGAGGTCCTTCTGCACACCCTTGTAACGATTCAAATTGCTTTTCTTCCATGTTTCTTTTGGCAGAGAGAAATGCCATCCTGCTTACTGCTCTTTTGGATTCCTCACACAGTGGCTCCCGTTCGCTCTGGGAACACTGCCTCTGTGCTGGGACACGTGCACAGCACGTGTGCGCTCATGGGTATAGGTGCAGCTCACCAGCAGGTGTGCAGCAGGTGAGCTGAAGGCAACCATGCTTCTCTTTTGCCACACAGCTCCCTTTCCTGTGTTTTCCTCAGCTGTCCTGTGGTTTCTCACAGCCTGTTAGTGGAGGCTGATCTGTTAAGGGATGAAAATACAGTCCCAAATGAGGAGCTTGTCATGGGGAAGAGCCCACAGCCACTGACTGCTTGATCTTGGAGAACACATTTAGATGGAATGAGAGAACTGCCCACCCACCCCAACCCACCCCTGCCCCGGGATGCTTGGTTATTGCAGGAAGGTGGGCAAGGGGCGAGGCCAGTCGCTTGGCATCCTGTGGACCAGAGCAGGTCAAGGCATGGGTATCTCTGAGGAAAGCGCGAACCCCGCTAGAACAGCTGTCTGCCAAAGATACAAGAATATGCAAAGTCCCTCTTCTCACCCCCTCCTTCCCTCGAGTCTTAGTTGGTTTGAGAGCCAGGGATATGGATCCAGGGTGCGGTTGCAGGGTCACCTGCCTGTGGCCACACCCCCATCCCCCTGGGGTGTGAGGCAAGCAGGGAGACTAGGTGACGCGTGGCTGCAAGGGTCATATAGCCTGGGTGTGGGTGAGGGTCTGCCTGCCTGTCTGTTCTGTCTGGGTGTCTGAGTTCCAAAAATGTGTGTTGTTGGTTCCTCCTCATCCTCTTCTGAGACTTGTTTTTTGAAGCTTGACTGTGGGAGAAGAGCTTGTGTGAAATACCCCCTTCCCCTCCTCCCCCACCCAAATAGAAGGGGGAATACACTTGAGTCCACTGGAGTAGCCCCGGGGTGGGTAGCACTGGCCTACCGAGAGTGTGCAGCGGGGTCTGGGGCTAGACCTGAGCTTACCCTGGGAACACCTGCTGCCTGTGAACACGTGAGCGCCCCATTCCCTAGCAGAGCAGAGGCACGACCCTGCCAGGTACCCACGCCACAGGGCTCAGGACGGCTTTTTGTCTGAGGGCCTTCTCAGGCCTAGGCTGCTGCTGCTGTTGGTGCCAACATCCCGGACACTGCCCTGGAGCCCAGGCATACCCAGCTGTTCTTCTTGCTTTACACCCTTGAAGCAGCACATCTCCACCGCCCCCGGCAGGCCTGTGAGAGGCTTCACAACCCTCCTTTCCTGACTTCCTCGTCTGCCACTCCAGGTGCCCCTTCCCAGTGTCCCATCGGGGGCTCATATGCCAGCATTCGTGGCTCTGGGCCTGTCAGAGTCATCTGTTTCTCCTCTTGCTTCAAGGCAGCCTCACTTGGCAGGTTAAGTGTCCCAAGCACCTGGCTCCTTTTCCAAGAAGAAGCCATTTCTGTGCACATCCCTGGAGAAGTGAGCTGCTTGCAGAGGGCGAGAGCAAGTGCAAGTCTTGGTATGCGGGCAGAGAGGCCCATGGCCTCCCCACACTCAGGAGGATGTGCTCATTCTCCCTCCCCTCGCTGATGTGGCCCAGATCAGTGCCTAGAGCCCTGCTCTGCTCCCCTGCCTAGTGGGGTGGTAGCGGCTACCTCTCAGCCCAGTAGTCCCTGCTCCTTTTAGAATCTTCACCAAGTAGCAGGCCACCTCTGGTCAGGACCACCCACATCTGGCATCCAGGTGGCGAGGCAGACACCATCCTTAGGTGATAGGGTCTGAGCCCAGTTCGGGAGACAAGGGATTCAGGCTTGGGAAGAATCTGTCTGTGTGCATGGAGTGAGGTGTGTGTGTGTGTGCGTGTGTGTGTGTGTGTGTGTGTGCACGTGTGCATGCCTTTTTTCTTTTTGCCGTGGGGACAGTTGAATTTGGGGCACTTTTGACTGGGTGTAACCTTGAACCCATCAGAGGTACTTCCAGCTGGAGAGAACCTCACCAAACAGCTGGTGTGGCCTGAGGATGGCCATGGTGGGAAGTGGGCATGAGAATAAATACCTCCCCAAATTCAGCCTGAGCTCCAGCAGGAGAGGATGGCAGCATTGCCTGGGCTGGAAAGTGCTAGCTGATTCCCCCACCCCACCTTGCCTCACCTTCCCCCCCTCCCTGGGTGAGTGCAGGAGTAGCAGTGGCTGCCCCTTCCACCTGGCCCATGGCGTGTGCAGCAAGCTGGTGGGTGTTTGTGGTGGGGCCTCATGGTGCCTAGGAGGAGATGATGATGAGGAGGTTTTTTCCTTATTGTATAAATGAATATTTGTATGATTAAATTAACACACACACCAAAAAAACTATTTCCGTGTGCGTCTGTGAGTTTTGTTGCACTTCAAGCCTCCTGTGACTTTTGTGGCCCTGTGATGGCTCTGGGGTGTACACTTTTTGACCTTTGGGTCTTTCCCTTTTGTAGATGGGAAAACCGAGACCCCGGGGTTTATTATGTGGTTGGGAAACCAGTCCTGTGTTATGATGGGACCTGCTGCCCTTCATTGCTCAGTGACCAGAAAGGCAGGGAAACTGCCTGCAAGTGACCTCTAGGTCCCCAGGGTAGCCTGCCTCTTGTCGATCACCTCTCTGTCCCCAGCACATACGAAACACCAGTCACATTCATGCTGACGAGCCAACAAGCACTGTTGGGCCCTCACTGCGTGTGACCAGCATGTGGCACAGATGCGGGGATCACACAAGGAAGAAGGCAGAGCATCACAGCAGCATCTTGTTGGGGCAGGCAGACACGTGGGTTGGGGGCCTCACACCTCCCTTCCACCTGGGCCCCTGTATCCCGGATTAGGAGAGAGACCATCTCATGTGTTTCCCGTGGTGCTGTGGTAGCTTTCCAAGGTGCTCGAGGCATTTCTTCTGGCTGTTGTGGGCTGCGTGGGAGCCTGAGACTTGATAGGGATGACACTCCAGGCACGGGCAAGTGGACTTGAACCTCACCCATAGACCTACGTGTGACCTTGACGGCGACCGGTGGGGGTGCTGCACGTGGTCAGAAAGCACTTAAGCAGTCAGCCTGGCAGAAATTAGCGACAGATATGCTGGCGAAGGATAGGTTTCCTGGTCCCATTCCTCCTTGCCTGTCGCACTCGTCAGGGCTCACCTTTGTCTTCAGTCACTCATCTCCCTCTGGGTTGAAGAGAAGGGGATCAGAGGAGAAGGAAGTTTCTTTAGCTCACAGCCTCATGGGTGAGTCAGGCTGAACCATGGCCTCCCCGATGCTACATTATTGTCACTTAGCTAAAGAGCCAGCCTTTCACTATAGACCCCTGAGTTTGTCCTTCGCCCTGCCTGGCAAAGCCAGGTGTTCCAAGGCATGGTTGTGAGCCAGGGGACCCGGGGTACAGGGGTTGAGGGCAGGAGAGTCCTTGGCCGCCTGCTTGTAGGCGTTCAGTGAGGGAACCTGTAGCCACAGACTGCTTGAAACAGGCCTACGGAGAACTGGCCCTGACCCAAGGTCCTGGACACAAGACTTCTCTTTCTCAGAGAGCACTTGATACAGATCCCAGAGCAAAGGAACCTGGGACAGGCCCAGAGACCCCCAGGGCGGGTGCTCTCACCCGTGACAGTGCACCTGCATCCTGCTTCCTTCCAGGTGCCCATAGGTGTTTGTTCTCTGCAGGGGAGGGGCCCCCGCCCTGCCACCTGGGTCTTCTGGCAGCTCAGACCCACTCCCAGGCCTTCCTCAGCACCCCCTCTGCTGAACAGTTATTTGCTTGGCAGAATCTGTTTGTCTTTGGGGCTGTAACCTGTCAAGAAGTCACCAGGCCCTGGGAGAAAGGAGCAAGTCTGATGGTAGCCTGTGGCCTGAGCCATTCCCACGGGGCCTAGGTGACAGGGAGAGGGTGCTCAGCTGGGTCTGGGAGATGCGGGGGAGGCCGTCGCAGTGGTCCAGGCCCAACCCTGACAGAGCAAACAGGTACTCTCAGCTCCCTCCCTCCCCAGCTCAGGTTGTCCCCGAGTGCCTCCTACCTGTTCCCGTGAAGGCCTGTCCCTCACCTGCCTGCTGTGACCCAACCATTTTCCTGACACCACCTGCTGTCCAGCCCCATCGGGCTGCCAAGAGAATAGGCAGCAAGGCGGGTACCATGGCAGCCCCGGATTTGGAAAGTGGGAACGGAGCAGGCAGGACCACTTAGAGTTAGGGGAGCGTGTATGTGAGTTGGGGGTCAGGGTGTCCAGGTAATTCTGACCAGTCAGCATGACTGGTCGTGGGTCTCAGGGGCCGCCTCTGTAAAATGAAGTTGTACTTGTTTAGAAACCAGAACATGGATTTTAAAATATCCTTTTAAGCCCTTAGTTTCTAGATGCTGTGATCTGGGTCAGTGCTTCTCAAACTTGAGTGTGTTAAAATGCAAATTCTTGGGGAAGAGGGCAAGACTGCACTTCTGGCAAGCTCTCAGGTGAATGGGTACTCCTGGTCTTCCAGCCACACTTGTGTAAGGATAGTAGGGGGCAGCCTGAGGGGGTTCTAGCCCCCGGATCACCCGGCCTGTGCCTCCAGCCGGGATGCCTTGGCCAAGCCCACCAGGGCTTGAAGAAGCAGAAGTTGTTTGGCACAGAGTACTCCAGATGTGGCCACAGTTCCCAGCATCTCCAGGGCTGTGGGTTTTGGCTTAAACATGACTTCTAGTGTGCTGCTCATCCACTGCAATCATGGTAATATTGGCTAGCCGTTATTGACCAACTCCTATTAAACTGTTTCTATGAATTACCTCGTGTATCCCACAGCTACCCAGATGCAGCCATCAGGGCAGACAGGCCTGGTGCTCTGTGTGCAAGCAACTTACTCCTCTAAGTAAGGGCCACAAGTCCTGGAAGTGGCAGTGTTGGAGCATGGAGTAAGGGACCCTAACTTGATCCAGGGGCATCTGGGAGACTATTCGAGGAAGTGACACTTCAGCTGAGACCTGAAGAAGGAAAAGGGAAGAGGCTGGAGGAGACCACCAGCAGGAAGGTGTGAGAGAGGTGGTGTACTGGACAAAGCATTGTGGACATCTTTGGGCAGAGAACAGCAGGTGCAAAGGCCCTGGGAAGTAGAGGAGGTCGGGGAGGTGGGGGGTCAGGATGGGTGGGGCCTTGAGGTGACTGAAATGGCATTGGCTTTCACTCTGGGTAAGATGGGAGACACTGTAGGGTTGCGAGCAGATGGAGGAGCACGCCCCAAACCCCTTAAGGCCCCTCTTGCTGCTGTGTTGAGAAAGAACTGTAGGGCAGACGCAGGGAAATGAGTACGGTGGCTTCTGGGGGCAACAGCAGAGGAGGTGAGCCAGGGCTGGATCCTCAATTCTTTGGGCAAGCAGAGCCAACAGTTTTTGCTGACGGATTAGACGTAGAGAGTGGGGGAGAGCCAAGGCATCCTGGGATCGGGCCTGAGCAGCTGGAACCGACTGACCAGCGAGTTACCCCACCTGAGATGGGCAGGACCACATGGGGAGCGGGCTTGTGGGGAGAAATCAGGAGTCCCTCAGACCTGTTCAGTGTGAGATGCTCCTCAGGCCAGGGGATCGAGGCTGCATTTCAGGGGTGGGGCGTCATCAGCAAGGAGCCGGCACTTAGAGCCTCAGGACTGGTTGAGGTCATCAAGGGGTGAACGTTGGCCCTCATCTGTTACTCTCTCAAAGCCTGCTTTTTGCCTCACCCCCCTCCATGAGCATCTCTGGCCAATAAGACCCCTCCTCAGACTCAGAGCTCAGACATCTGCAGTTGGCCTCCTGGCCAGTATTTTCCTGTCCCTAGACCCTTGCGCCCCAGCCCTCCCTCTTGTCATGGCAGGTGGTCATGGTGTGGATGAGGGGCTGGATACAGTCCAGGCCAGGGGTGGCCCCATCCAGGAGCCAGGTGGCAAGGGCATGGAGGAGTGGGGTCAGGGCCCCAGTAGATTGTAGTTTAGCTCCCGAGGTCCTGTCCTCCCAAGGACGGGACCTTAGAGCCAAGTCCTAGAAGTTCCTCCTGCCAAGCCGCGGGACAGAAGTCAGAGGGGGGGTGTCTATCTAACTTGGGGTCTGAGGAGGGAAGCCCTGCAGGGGCCCGTCTCGCCTTTACCAAGCTCCCAGCCCTGGTCAACAGTCCTAGGTCCCTGATAGGCTGGGATGTCACTGCTCTCGCCCCAATCAGAGGGCAGTAGACAAAGCAAGGGCCAGGAAGGGGTTTGAGCCGCACGCTGAGGAAATCCTTCTCTCAGGATATGGCTGCTCTGAGCCACTTTAGGGGGGTTGGGGAGCAGGAGGGGTCCCTTGCTGGGACTGGGAATGTGGCCACCTCACCTGGTACGGGGTGCGCTCAAGGCCAGCAGAGGGCGCCGTGTCCCAGATTCTCACTCCTCAAGGGCCAGTGTTGCTTCCGCTCTCTGCTCCCAGGTAGATGAGTTGGGTTTGCCTGTCAGCTGGAAGACTGGTCAGCTTAGGTGCTCAGAACCTCAATGTTCTGATCTGTAGAATGAGGACAGTTTCTACCCCAGAGGTGTCATGGAAATTAAAACCATCATTAAAATGTCTAGCAGTATATGCCTGGCATGCGGTAAGTATCCCACGTGGGGTGACCATTGCTATCTTTTATGACCTGTCGCATGTGGCAAGGCCTGCGCCCCTGAGGAGAGGGGACTGGGTCAGTGAGCATTTGGGAGGAGGAACCCAAAAAATCTGCAACCCACTCGGGTGTCGCTCCCTGGACCACAGCTCTTATTTCTAGCAAACCCTTGTCTGATGGAAATGTCTTGGTTTGGGTTGGAAGTTGAGATGCAGGAAAGGATCATTCTGGAAGAGGGTCTAGGAGGTCTACTTTATTTTATTTTATTTATTTATTTATTTTGAGTTGGAGTCTCACTCTGTCGCCCAGCCTGGAGTGCGGTGGCACGCTCCCGGCCACCACAGCCTCGACCTGCTGAGTTCAGGTGATCCTTCCACCTCAGCCTTCCAAGTAGCTGAACTATATAGGCGCGCACTACCACGCCAGCAAGTTTTTTTTATTTTTATTTTAGAGACGAGGTCTCACCATGTTGCCCAGACTGGTATCGAACCCATGTGCTCAGGCAGTCCTCTCGCCTCAGCCTCCCAAAGTGCTGGGATTTTAGTTGTGAGCTAGCACACCTGGCCAAGAGGGCTACTTTATAAGAGGCTCTAAGGAGAGGAAGCCACACTCAGCAACTGCTGAAAAAGTGAACAAACATACAGGAGAGACTGGGAGCCTGGCTTGTGCAGGGCTGGCCTGATTTCTGGAGGTAGACACAGCCCAGCTGAAACCAGACAGTGGTAGGGGCTCCTGTGGTGGGTGGGTGGGGGGTATGGATGTGCCCACG